GACAAAGTAGGAGAAGCAGTCGTTAAGCTTCGGACACCGGTGTGGTGCCGGCCGAAGGCTCTCTGATGCTTAAGTCAGCTAAGAGTAGTAACTTTAGCAGAGTAACAGTAAAAGTAAGAAATTAGTTACCCTTTTTACTAGGGTACTGTTCCCTATTTATAGGGAAGTGAAAGTGGGAGGTTTGTGTAGAATTTCGATGTGGGATTTTGTGCAAGTTGCTGTGGTGGTGACACGTGTCATGGAGATTAGGTTCGGCAGTTTGAGAGCGTCAGTAGTCGGGAGCTTCGGCAGGTGTCTGGCACCTTGGAAGAGTGTCTTCCTTCGGCAGGGGAGAAAGCGTGACTGCCTTGGTGCTAGTTGTTTTGAGGCTGGATATGCTCGGTTGATTATGTTGTAAACAGATGCCATCAGTGTTTGGGCTATTTCCAGCTGCATTGACTTTGACCCCTTTGATGCAAACATCTTGGCAGCCGTTTATCACAATGTGGAACATGTGGCTGTTCAATGACATTAGTCCATTGATGTTAATGTTTTTGGAGTTTGTAAAACTCAGACTCTGCGTATCATTGGGAACAAAAATATCAAAATTTTGGAAACAATAGAACACGAAGAGACTAGTAGGTAAGGTAGACAACAAATTTAAACAAGATTTCACTTGATCGATAAGAAAGCATAAATTACCAACCGTGGCTCCTCCATTGGGGCAATCAGTGCTTCCAAACTTGCATGCCCACATGGAGGTACCTTTAGCGTCAAGTCAAGGGCACTTCTGATAATGGACACACCGGTAACTCCTTCAAAGCTTAGCCAGTTGTTAGCTTGGCCAAGGATTCGGTAATCAGACGAAGCTATCAATGTTCCATCAATTCGAAAAGTAATATCAGTGCTTTTGCAGTTATCACCATTGAAAACCATAGCATTGTGAAGCAAATACCTTCCTTTTGGTACACGTATAGTAGTGGAATCAGAGGAGGGACATGCTGCAGTCCATACATCCAGAAAAGCTTGTGTAGAATCTATTACATCGTTAGGCTTGGCTCCGAAGCTTAGGACATTGAAAACTAATGTACTCTCTCAGCAACACATGATTGGTGTAGGATATATAGGATCATGAGTAGTGCTACTCTGCTAAAACAACTACTTGTAACCTCAGCCATTTTCTCCTTTTCTATTTTTCCTTTCTGTTTGAGAGAGAGAGAGAGAGATTAAATTAAACCGACGACGTCGATGGTAGGTTGGTAAGGAATGAAGTTGGGAACTGAGAGGTTGATGGAGAAAACTTGAACATTATTGTACAGTACTTATAATCTTTATGATACATGCATGCAGTAAGTAATTAGGTTGATATAAGGGATGTTTGTATATGATATTATAAAGCATATATGTATTAAGAAAGCTGCGCCGGCACAAATTTGGTAGCTACTCTTTTGTGTTTTACTGTATATATAAGTAATATGGATGTGAATCCATGAATCATATAATATTATATGAATCGATAATAATTTAATTAAAATATTAGTTTATAATTACTTTTGCCGTTGACTTGTTAATGAATCAATTCATCCTAAGTGGGACATACTTCCTGTACTTAAATCCCTTCGTGGCTACTCAAGTAGCATTTTGAAATCACTACTGGGGTGTCCTAATGATGGCATTAGCTTGTTGAACAGTCCCACATTGGAAAAATACCCAATATTACAAGTGCTTATAAAGACTTATATGATATTTTGTAATTGCCGAGTCTAGTAGTGTGGGCTTGTAACTAAGCAGGGCATTAAAGTGGTTGGTTATTTGAGCAAGCATTGTTAGGTGAGATGTGATGGTCTTGGACTGTTCACCTTGGTGAAGTCGCACAAAGCACGCCCCCACCCTCGGGTTAGTAGGGCCCGCCATCCTCGATGGGTGGGTAGCAACCTCAACTTGATATTAGATTGGGGTGTTAGGCACGAATACCACACCTCACGGGTCAAGAACCACCACACCCCAGCGTGCTGCCTAGCTTGGCCTCTCATCACACAATCACTTTTTTGTTCAATTGGAAGTGGTCTCTCATTTTTGTTCAATTAACAAAAATTGAAATAATGTCTATTTCTTTTTTAATGCTGCCAAATCATCTTTCTTATTTATTGTTATTTTCCAGCAATATGTAGACTGTGTACAGTATTAATTAATGGCTTTTTATCACAAATGGTCCTTCAGGTTTACAAAATTATCACGAATCGTCCTTTAGGTTTTTTTGTGACACTAAAAGTCCTTTAGGTTATCATCCACCCATCAAAATAGTCATTCTGTTAGTTTCTGTTAAAACTGAAGTTAAACTCACGTGCTCATCCTGCTTTTTGAAATATAATCTCATCATTCCACTCAACCTTCGACCAAACCCAACTGTCAGAACTCTAACTTGCAATCACAGCCTCTTTGAATTGACTTTTGTTTGGAAAGTGCATAACAATATCAAAGCTTGGATTCCTCAACATAGACTCTCTCCTCCATTGTCGATAGTTAGGAACTACTTTGGTCTTTTTCTTCTTGCTGCTAACTTCATCATCCACATCAGATTCATCATACCCATGTTTGCTATGAAAATCCTCAGAGTTTTCCAAATGGTCTGAAATCTCCCCTGCAAAACCCATCTCTTCAGGCTCCTCTTCAATCGGATTATCTATATTTTCCTCAAACATATTATTATCGATCTCAATCTCTTCAGCTTCTCCTATTTGCTTATAGTCACTATCTATGAAGTCTATATCCAATGGATCTTCCTCATCTTCATCTTGTTCCTCTTCAACCTCACTGTCGTTTTGCCCCTCATATAGTACCTTAAAAGGCTCATTTTCCCCCCAGTTGGGTTTGGTCAAAAAAGTTGAGTGGAATGATGAGATTATATTTCAAAAAACAGGATGAGCACGTGAGTTTAACTTCAGTTTTAACAGAAACTAACAGAAGGACTATTTTGATGGGTAGATGATAACCTGAAGGACTATTAGTGTCACAAAAAAGCCTGAAGGACGATTCGTGATAATTTTGTAAACCTGAAGGACCATTTGTGATAAAAAGCCTTAATTAATTATATATTCCTGTATTTTGTTCAATGACATAAATTTCTTACACAATTAAATCGGTGACTTGTACATTTTTGGTGCGACATAATTATTTATAATCTGAAAAGCTAAAAATTCAAAATGCTTGCTTGTTGATAATAAAAAAGTTATTTATAATAAGTATTTTGCTTCTAATAAGCTTGAATTAGGGATAATATTATTGAATGTTAACGTTATTTGCTCTTCATTGAGGGTTTAGGGTTGAATGCATTACCATTTTCTCAAAAATAAAAAAATAAAAAAACCCAACCTGGACCTGGAACCAACCATTGCACCTCAGCGTTCTGCCTGGCTTGGCCTCTGATCACACAATCACTTTTTTATAAGTGGGGTTTAATAATGGTTACTCGAGCAATAACTTTTTCGCTACAAACGAATGAAAGCAGTAGTAGAAAACTGCATAACTACGGTAAGGAAGAAAGAAAGACGAGAAGAAGAGAGAAAGAAAAAGGGAGAGATTTTCAGAGTCATCTCTCGGATTGGAATGACATTATTCAATTGATGATTTTTGAAACTTTTGTATAAATATGTATATATGTACAAGGGCTTTCGCTAGCAATAGAATTAATGATTTCTCTATCCCTCCTTTTGGATAAAGGAATTGAAAATTATGTAGAATTCTAAACAATGGAATTTAAATTTTCATCATTTTAATTTATGGCAATTGAAGATTTCAGTACTTGGAATTATGTACGTTGAATTTTGTACACAAGTGTTTTTTATAGCGTTTGGCTACCTAAACATCCAGGGGAATGCACTTATACTAAACAAATTTCTAAAGTCCCACATCGATAAACAGTTCATGCTTATAAGGACTTACCACTTTGTTATCATCGCACAATGCTTATAAGAGAACTTTTTTTTTTCTTCTCTTGTTTAAATCTCACTGTTTTGATGTTGATTATTTTTATGGGAGCTTGTTGGTATGGCTGAAGCAAAGAAAAGTTGGATGAAATTCACAAATATTTATATCTGAATTTCCCTGATTTGATGAGATGTATGGGTGGTGCCAATTCCATATGAACCCTCTCACCCTGATCTTGATTTGATGAGATATTACCTCATTTGCAAGTTGCAACCATTGCAGTAATGATTGTGCACAGATTCTGCTTTTGGAATAAATGCAAATTAAGCAAGCCTCTTTGTTATACCAACAGAAGTTCAGGAATTAATTATATAAATATACATATATCTGGATGCATATTCATAGAAATCATACTAAGAAATCTGCACCACGCTTTTGTGTTTGACTTACTCTCTAAAGTATGTTTTACTGTTTTATACGGGGAGGAGTGGAAGGGGAGGTGATAATGCTTCAAGGTTGAGTGACGGTAAGGATAGGATACTTTCTAAAGAATGATGTTTGCCAACATCCCACATTGGAGTAACACGCAATCATACGAATGCTTATAAGGACTAACATAACAATTTACATTGCCGAGCTTAGTAACGTGAGCTTATAACTAAGTAGGGCATTAAAGTGATTGGTTGTTTGAGTTAAGCCTTGTCAGGTGAGGTATGGTGCTCTTGGGCTGTTCACTTCGGTGAAGTCGCACAAAGCATGCTCCCTACCCTCGGGTTAGTAGGGCTAGGCCTGGGCACGGTTCGGGTCGGTTCAAATTTTGGCTGACCCGCGGGCCGAACCGATGGGGAGCTCGGTTCTCGGATCGGGGCGGGTCTAGAGCAAAACCCGAAAATGAGCCGAACCGCAAATGGGCCTCGGTTCTCGGGTCGGTTCTCTATTTTATCGGTTTGGGCTTGAGCCCAATTTTACCATTTTTTAAAAGCCTAAATCAGATTCACTTCCAGCCCAAATCCCTTTTTTGTTGTCCAATTGTCAAATCTAATAAGCTCTTATGAACAAGCCCAAATCACTTTGAACTTTGCCTTTTTTACAGATTTTTCCATCTATAACCTGTTTTTTTAAAGTTTCTAAACAAAGTCTTAATCAAAAGCATCATCCAACTATCAAATTAGTTGGTTCTTACATCCCATGACAAAAAATACAAGCAAAGCACCAAATTATATTTTACATCCCATGACAAAAAATATAAGTAAAGCAGCAAATTATATTTTACAACCCATGACAAAAAATACAAATAAAGGAGCTGCAGGTTTGAACAAATGATACTAATGGCATATTAATCACTTACCAAACAGATTCACGTGTATAAGGGAGCTGCAAAAAAATACACTTGTATCAGTTAAAAATCACTCACCAGATCATAATCCAACTCGATAGTTAATTTCACCAAAAAAAGAAAGTGTTCGCAGTTTCTGTCTCAAATCATTTAAACAGATCAAAACACGTTATAGCACAAATCAGTTATCATTCAAAACATCTTATGACTGTTAGGACATAACAACAAATAAGCAGAGAGTTTACTTTGTTACTTTATTGTAGCAACAAAAATCACAGGAATTAAAAACTAAGCCAAACCCATCTCAATTCAAAAGCACCAAATTATATTTTACAACCCATGAAAAAAAATACAAGTAAAACACCTAATTACAACCCACCGAAACAGCAGCAAGTCTATCTATAACCACACAAAAATGTCAGAACCAATATCTCATTAACATCAAACATATTTCAGAACCAATATATCATGAACATCAAGCAAGCAAATTTTCAGAACTCACCACCGCTAGCCTCCATTGCAATAAAGAGGGTATTGTGGTTACAGTTGGTGAGTGCAAGGAGCAAGCCTCCATTGCAATGGAATTCAAGTGCTCAGTTCAGTGGTCACCAAAAGTCTAGAGCTTTAAACAATTGGAGACAAATAAACGGTTTTATTATCTTCTGATTTTTTTTTTCTGTTTCTTTGTTAAATAAATTTTTTTCACAACAAAAGGTGCGGTAAGACAAAAAAAATTGAACCAAGCCGGTATTGAAAACAAGAAAAAAAAAAGTGTCTCCAGAAACGGTTAGATAGAAGTTAATGAGTAAAAACCTGAGAAAGTGTTCATAAGCAGTACCAAAACCCAGACGACCAACAAAATTGCAAAAGCTAAAGAGAGACAACAATATGAACTATAAAGCAAGCAAAACACATCACTCAAACTCATCACCAGAAACAGCACCAGAACCCAGAACCCAGAACCCAGAACTCATCACTCAAACTAAAGCAAGATGAAGCAAGCAAAACCCAGAACTCATCTACCCTTGTTACAGCAGTTGATTATATTCCCCACAAATCCTGTATATAACCCCTACACAAATAGCCAAACCCCAAATTGCGTCTTCTCTTTCTTTCTAATCTTATATCCAACGTGAATGCCATTTAATAGACAGTACAGAGCAGTATCTAGAGCTTCACCTAATTCCCAAAAGCAAACAACCGAAGAAACTAGGAAAATTCAATAAAAGATGAACCTTTACAACAGCCTTAGCAAATCAAGGAAAAAAACAGAAGAAAGAAGATAATATTAGAAACAGACAGCTAGAGAGAGAGAGAGAGAGAAGAGATGATACCTGCCAAACGAGAGATAGAGATCGATGAAGGAGCAACGCCGATGCTGTCGCCGAAAGATCTGAGGTCGGGAGAGACAAGATCTGAGGTTGGGAGAGAGAGGCGCCGCTTAGGTCAAAAACAGAAGAAAGAAAAATTATACCTGCCAGACAAGAGAGAGAGAGAGAGAGATCGACGAAGGAGCGACGCCGGTGCTGTCGCCGAAAGATCCAAGGTCTGGAGAGACGAACTCGGGACAGAGAGGCGCCGCTTAGGGTTTTGATTGTGAAGAAGAAAGAAGAAGACACGAAAAGAGAAGAGAAGACTGACTGAGTGAGAGAGAATCGCGTGTGAGGAGAGGGAGGGTTAGGGAAAAAAAACAGAGCTGAGGATACGCTGCAAGCAAGTTCACTGAACCTTTTATTTTGGCCAATCAAACGATGCCATGTGTAATAAATATATATAATTAAATATTTACCGGTTCGGTTCGGGTTCATCGGTTCTGAAATTTTTTGACCCGAGAACCGAACCGTTGACTTTCGGTTCGGTTCAGGTTTATGGTTGACTTTTTCGGTTTGGTCAAAAAACTCTCTTTTTCGATTCGGTTTGGGTTGGTTCGGTCGGTTTGATCGGTTTATCGGTTTTTATGCCCACCCCTAAGTAGGGCCACCCAATCTCGATGCTTGGGTAGCAACCCATATTTAAGGATTTGATTGGGGGTGTTTAGGTGCCAAACCTGGAGTCCCCACAGATCAAGAGTTATCACACCTCAGCGTGCTGCCTGGCGCGTGGCCTTTCATCACACAATCACTTTTTGTCTCTCTTATTTGAGCCCACAAGTAGTACAAAATGTCAAATGGGCTTCGGAACCCTATACCCATCAAAGCCCTAAGGATTGGCCAAGGATCCGGTAATCAGAAGAAGTTTCAATGTTCCATCAATTCGAAAAGTAATGTCTGTGCTTTTGCAGTTATCACCTTTGAAAACTATAGCATTGCGAAGCAAATATCTCCCTTTTGGTACATGCTGCAGTCCATACATCCAGAAAAGCTTGTGTAGAATCTATTGCACCGTTAGGCTTGGCTCCGAAGCTTAGGACATTGAAAATTAATGTACTCTCATCAACACATGATTGGTGTAGGATATATAGGATAATGAGTACTGTATATATAAAAGTAATATGGGTGAATCAATGAATCATATAATATTATATGAATCGATAATAATTTAATTAAAATATTAGTTTGGATATGATCACATTTGCCGTTGACTTGTTAATGAATCAATTCATCCCAAGGGGGACACACTTCCTGTACTTAAATCCCTTCATGGCTACTCATTCCTCTCAGGTGGAGTAACGCGCAGGATAATTTGTAATTTCAGTATTGTAGAGGCAGTAGATAGGTATTTGCTAACGAACATTTTGAAATGACTACTGGTATTGGGGTGTCCTAATGATGGCATTGGCTTATTGCACAATCCCACATTGGACAAATACGCAATATAACGAGTGCTTATAAAGACTTATATGACATCTTGTAATTGCCGAGCCTAGTAGCGTGGGCTTGTAACTAAGCAGGGCATTAAAGTGGTTGGTTATTTGAGCAAGCCTTGTTAAGTGAGGTGTGATGGTCTTGGACTGTTCACCTTGGTGAAGTCGCACAAAGCACGCCCCCTACCCTCGGGTTAGTAGGGCCCGCCATCCTCAATAGGTGGGTAGCAACCTCAACTTGATATTAGATTGGGGTGTTAGGTACGAATACTACACCTCACGGGTCAAGAACCATCACACCCCAGCGTGCTGCCTAGCTTGGCCTCTCATCACACAATCACTTTTTTGAGAAATTGAAAATGGTCTCTCATTTTTGTTCAATAAAAATTGAAATAATGCTGCCAAATCGTCCTTCTTATTTATTGTTATTTTCCAGCATTAATTAATTAATTATTTATTACTATATTTGGTTCGATATATGACAGAAATTTCTTTCACAATATTTGGTGCGACATAGTTGTTTATAATCTGAGGAGCTAAAAATTCAAATAGCTTGCTTGTTGATAATTAAAAAGTTATTTATAATAAGTATTTTGTTCTAAGCTTGAATTACGAGTAATATTATTGAATGTTAACGTTATTTGCTTTTCGTTGAAAAAAAAAGTTATTTTTCATGTTGGTTGTTACTAGAAAAATATAGAAGAGAAAAGAAAGGGGGAAAGAAACATTTGTCTGCACTATAAGCTTAGTTTGTGAAATATTTGAGCTTTTATAAATCAAGCACAAACCTTCTAGCCATTTTATGTACATGCTTTCTCATATTTTTGGGTTTTAAAGGAAGGAAAGATATTTTAACCACAAAAAAAATAAAAATAAAGAGCAAGAACGAAAGACAGAATTAGGCTCCATTTGGATTGATTGATATGAAAGAAAATATTTGGATTTTACAACAATTTCCTACAAAAACAAGAACCCCATTAGATTGAATGTATATTAACTAGATGATCGTTATGGGAACACATATTTCGGCAACAAATCATGAAGTGCCACATGGATAATGGGAATATTCCTTAGGTCAATAATTGTGCTCCATTTAATTGGCCAATTGTTTACACTTAAGATAGGGATATCACCATAAATTAGGGATTTAATTTTCATTAAATTTCCTTGATTGATCCAATCTCTCTATTTAAGGGAAAAAAAGAAAAAAACAATTCCCTTCCTTATGGGAATTTGAAATTGGTACTTAGAGCACTTCTACCCATTTGTCATGGCAAATGTAAGGCAAGGGTTGTTACTATTCACGTAAATAGTGGCAGCCCTTGCAAAAAGTAAGGTGTGTTTCCACCTGTTGCCATGGTAAAGGGAAAATACTATTCACTTTTTTTTTTTTTTTACCTAAACAATTAACTTAGAGAATATTTTTGGACAAGATTTTTGGGTTCATACGTGTCAATATTTATTATAAAATTCATATCTCATAACTCACCTCTCACACCAGATCTTCTCTATATTTTCAGTTATCATATTTTAGATTTCATACTCCACTCTTAATGTCAAACATGAGGAGATGCTTGGAGAGGCAAGACCGAGAAATAAAAGAAAGAAGGCGTAGACGAGCTGAAGAAAAAAGAGTGCAGCAAGAAGATGAAGTTGTTGCCATTGCAATGGGTTTGCTCGAGCAATCAACCCAAGGTCGCCACCGTGGTTCACAAGTTGTTCACCCTTTTTGTGTTTTTACTCCTATAATGGAAGGGCAAAGTTCCTCATTGCCTTGAAAACCTTTGACTGGTCAACAAGTCAACTTTCTTTGGCGTGCGAGCGTGCCAGTGCTAGCAATGAAAAATTCTAGCAGACTTCTTTGAAACAGATAACTTGCGCTCCAAGTTACTGATTTCTAAACAAGCGATTGTGAATTTGGGTGAGGAATATCTCCCAAGTAAGTTCTTTTCTTGCCTCAGACTGGTGAGGACTTCACAATTTATCTTAGTAAAAGATTAGTAGTTCTGGCCAGAATACTTGATAATAAAGTGGTATGTTTTTAGGCAGAACTGCCTTTTACAAAACTAGAAGGAAAAATCAATTCAAGAAAGACAAAAAGAAGGCCGGAATTCCATTTCTGCCTGGATAGAAGCTTCTGATCCGGGTTGGACTGGGTATATCCGTGCTGGACTGAACTATTAACAGCTTCAGCTACTTAGCTTCAGCTATAAATCAATACCAAAGTTCAATTTTGGCATAGCTTTAATCTACTTCGAGTCCTGGAAGGCTTTTCGAATGGGCAGAACTACAACTTCTTTGATATGAACGGGGCAGAAGTGGCTGGTCTTGGGGATTAATGAGCCGGAACTGCACTGTGGTACTTGTTCTGCTTGATTAGGGCTTTTCATAAATTTGTTGAGGTTTTCATATTTGTGAAAACTCAAACTCAATTTGTCTTGGCTTTTGCTAAACCAAATTTGTAACGAGAGAAGTCTCGTTTTGAATGACTTATTTCTCTAAGTTTGAACTTGGAAGTTCTTATCTATAGCTGGCTTTTTGTGGTTCAAATGAGCTTTTGGTTGTTTTGGTTGTTGAAGGTTCTTAGTGATCAAGTGATCATTTTGAGTTTTTGCCTTTGGTTGATTTTTGATTGTTTGATTGATTGTTGAATTGAGTGTCCTCTACTCTGTTCACCCTCTCATATATTTATAAGAAATGCTTTGGAGTAGGGTTTCTTTCTTTTAATAATAGGCAGCAAAAATCCTCAAAAAATCTCTCATTTTTAAAGGCAAAGAAAGAGACGTTTTATCAATTCTGGTAGATAAGCTCTCAGTAGTCAGTTCTTATGGCCATCACTTCCCTGCTCTTCTTGAAAGAAAACCTAATCTCTTTTTCCAATTTAACTGCCCCTTGCGGGAGCTCAAACTGTGATGGTTAGTTTGATCTTTCCAGATGAACAACTCCTTGCTTTTCTACTTATCTCTTTTTAGAAAATATAATCTGCTTATCTCTTAGGATTTAATTTTCATTAAATTTCCTTGATTGATCCAATCTCTCTATTTAAGGGGAAAAAAAAAAAAAAAACAATTCCTTTCCTTATGGGAATTTGAAATTGGTACTTAGAGCATTTCCACCCATTTTTCATGGCAAAGGGCAAAGGCAAGGCAAGGGTTGTTACTATTCACATGAATAGTGGCAGCCCTTGCAAAAAGTAAGGTGTGTTTCCACCCGTTGCCATGGCAAAGGGCAAATACTATTCACTTTTATTTTATTTTATTTTTAATACCTAAACAATTAACTTAGAGAATATTTTCAGATAAGATTTTTGGGTTCGTACGTGTCAATATTTATTATAAAATTCATATCTCATAACTCGATTGAATTTTTCGGATAAGATTTTCGGTTTCAAAATTCAGATAAATTTCAAATTTCAAATTTCAAATAAATTTCAAATTTCAAATAAATTTCAAATTTCAACTTTCCAATAAGATTTTCACCCTCTAAAATCACTCCACGTGTCATCTCTATCTGCCAAAATCTCTCTATAAAACCAGAGGCTCAGCTGATACCTCTCACACCAGATCTTCTCTATATTTTCATTTATCAGATTTTAGATTTCATACTCCACTCTCAATGTCAAACATGAGGAGATGCTTGGAGAGGCAAGGCTGAGAAATAAAAGAAAGAAGGCGTAGACGAGCTGAAGAAAAACGAGTGTAGCAAGAAGATGAAGTCATTGCCATTGCAATGGGTTTGCTCAAGCAATTAACCCAAGGTCGCCGCCGTGGTTCACAAGTCGGCCGTGGCCCGAACGTGGACAGACATAGGCATTCTCGAGGTAAGAATCTTTTGGAAGATTACTTTATCCCAAATTA